TCAGAAGTGTCTGTTCATATCCATTGCCCACTTTTTGATGGGCTTGTTTTTTTCTTATAAATTTGTTTAAGTTCTTCGTAGATTCTGGATATTAGCCCTTTGTCAGATGGATACATTGTAAAAATTTTCTCCCATTCTATAGGTTGCCTGTTCACTCTGATGCTAGTTTCTTTTTCTGTGCAGAAGCTCTTTAGTTAATTAGAGCCCATTTGTCAATTTTGGCTTTTGTTGCCATTGGTCTTTGTGTTTTAGTCATGAAGTCTTTGCCCATGCCTATGTCCTGAATGGTATTACCTATGTTTTCCTCTAGGATTTTTATGGTTTTAGGTCTTACGTTTAAGTCTTTAATCCATCTTGAGTTAATTTTTGTAGAAGGTGTAAGGAAGGGATCCAGTTTCAGCTTTCTACATATGGCTAGCCAATTTTCCCAACACCATTTATTAAATAGGGAATCCTTTCCCCATTGCTTGTTTTTGTCAGGTTTGTCAAAGATCAGATGGTTGTAGATGTGCGGTGTTATTTCTGAGGCCTCTGCTCTGTTCCATTGGTCTATATATATATATCTGTTTTGGTACCAGTACCATGCTGTTTTGGTTTCTGTAGCCTTGTAGTATAGTTCAAAGTCAGGTAGCATGATGCCTCCAGGTTTGTTCCTTTTGCTTAGGATTGTCTTGTCTATGTGGGCTCTTTTTTGGTTCCATAGGAAATTTAAAGTAGTTTTTTCCAATTCTGTGAAGAAAGTCAATAGTAGCTTGATGGGGATAGCATTGAATCTATAAGTTACTTTGGGTGGTATGGCCATTTTTCACAATATTGGTTCTTCCTGCTCATGAGCATGGAATGTTTATCCATTTGTTTGGTCCTCTCTGATTTCCTTTAGCAGTGGTTTGTTGTCCTCCTTGAAGAGGTCTTTCACATCCCTTATAAGTTGTATTCCTTGGTTTTTTATTCTCTTTGTAGCAATTGTGAATGGGAATTCACTCATGATTTGGCTGTTTGTCTGTTATTGGTATATAGGAATGCTTGTGATTTTTGATTTCTGCACATTGATTTTGTATCCTGAGACTGCTGAATTTGCTTATCAGCTTAAGAATATTTTGGGCTGAGACGATGGGGTTTTCTACATATACATTCATGTCATCTGCAAACAGAGACAATTTGACTTCCTCTTTCCCTAATTCAATGCCCTTTATTTCTTTCCCTTGCCTGATTGCCCTGGCCAGAACTTCCAATACTATGTTGAATAGGAGTGGTGAGAGAGGGCATCCTTGTCTTCTGCCAGTTTTCAAAGGGAATGCTTCCAGTTTTTGTTCATTCAGTATTATATTGGCTGTGGGTTTGTCATAAATAGGTGTTATTATTTTGAGATACGTTCCATCAATACCTAGTTTATTGAGAGTTTTTAGCATGAAGAGCTGTTGAATTTTGTCGAAGGCCTTTTCTGCATCTATTGTGATAGTCATGTGGTTTTTGTCATTGATTCTCTTCATGTGATGGATTACGTTTATTGATTTGTGCATGATGAACCAGACTTGCATCCCAGGGATGAAGCCGATTTATTGTGGTGGATAAGCTTTTTGATGTGCTGCTGGATTCGGTTTGCCAGTATTTTATTGAGGATTTTCCCGTTGATGTTCATCAGAGATATTGCCCTGAAATTTTCTTTGTGTGTTGTTTCTCTGCCAGGTTTTGCTATTAGAATGATGCTTGCCTCATAAAATGAATCTTGGCCTGCCTTGCTAGGTTGGGGAAGTTCTCCTGGATAATATCCTGAAGAGTGTTTTCCAACTTGGTTCCATTCTCCCCGTCACTTTCAGGTACACCAATCAAACGTAGATTTGGTCTTTTCACATAGTCCCATATTTCTTGGAAGCTTTGTTTGTTTCTTTTCACTCTTTTTTCTCTAATCTTGTCTTCTCGCTTTATTTCATTGAGTTGCTCTTCAATCACTGATATCCTTTTTCCACTTGATCAATTTGGCTATTGATACTTGTATATGCTTCATGAAGTTCTTGTGCTGTGTTTTTCAGCTGCATCAGGTCATTTATGTTCTTCTCTAAGCAGGTTATTGTAGTTAGCAATTCGTCTAACCTTTTTCCCAGGTTCTTAGCTTCCTTGCATTGGGTTAGAACATGCTCCTTTAGCTCAGAGGAGTTTGTTATTACCCACCTTCTGAAGCCTGCTTTTGTCAATTCATCGAACTAATTCTCTGTCCAGTTTTGTTCTCTTGCTGGCAAGGAGTTGTGATCCTTTGGAAGAGAAGAGGCGTTCTGGTTTTTTGAATTTTCAGCCTTTTTGCACTGGTTTCTCCCCATCTTTTGGATTTATCTACCTTTGGTCTTTGATGTTGGTGATATTGATGCTATTTTTTTCTGTTTGTTAGTTTTCCTTCTAACAGTCAGGGTCCTCTTCTGCACGTCTGCTGGAGTTTGCTGGAGGTCCACTCCAGACCCTGTTTGCCTGGGTATCACCAGTGGAGGTTGCAGATCAACAAAGATTGCTGCCTGTTCCTACCTCTGGAAGCTTCATCCCAGAGTGGCACCCGCCAGATGCCAGCCAGAGCTCTCCTGTATGAGGTGTCTGGCCCCTACTGGGAGGAGTCTTCCAGTGTGGATACACAGGGGGTCAGGGACCCACTTGAGGAGGCTGTCCCTTCTCAGAGTTCGAACACTGTGCTGGGAGAACCGCTGCTCTCTTCAGAGTTGTCAGGCAGGGACGTTTAAGTCTGCTGAAGCTGCACCCGCAGCTGCCTCCTCCCCCCGCAGCTGCCTCCTCCCCCAGGTGCTCTGTTCCAGGGAGCTGTGGTTGGCTCCACCCAGTTTGAACTTCCTGGGGCTTCGTTTACACTGTGAGGGTAAAACCGTCTACTCAAGCCTCAGCAATGGTGGATGCCCTTCCCCCACCAAGCTCTAGCATCCCAGGTAGACCTCAAACTGCTGTGGAGCAGCGAGAATTTCAAGCCAGTGGATCTTAGCTTGCTGGGCTCCATCAGGGTTGGGACCTGCTGAGCCAGGCACTGGAGAGAATCTGGTCTGCTGGTTGTGAAGACTGTGGGAAAAGTGCAGTATCTGGGCCAGAATGCACCGTTCCTCCTGGTACAGTCTCTCATGGCTTCCCTTGGCTAGGAAAAGGAAATCCCTCGACCCCTTGCACTTCCCAGGTGAGGCGATGCCCCACCCTGCTTCAGCTCGCCCTCCCTGGGCTGCACCACTGTCCAACCAGTCCCAGTGAGATAAGCCAGGTACTTCAGTTGGAAATGCAAGAATCACACACCTTCTGTGTCAATCTCGCTGGAAACTGCAGACTGGAGCTGTTCCTATTCAGCCATCTTGCCTGCCCACCCTTCACTATCTATTAATATATAGAGAGCAGTAATATTGCCCAAAAAGGGAAAGTTAATCTTTGTAGTTAATCCTCTCCCCGAGTCTCATTTTGCCTTTTCTAGAATTTCATAAGTCTAAACTGGATTTATTTCATTGGTAACAGTGCTATTCATGTTGTCTTTCTTCCTTCTTGGGTCAGTTTTGGTCATCTGTGTCTTTCAAAGACTTTGTCTGTTTCATCAAGTTGTCAAATTTATTGGCATAAGGTTGTTCATAATAGTTCCTTATTATCTGGGTGGATCACATGAGCCCAGGAGTTCAAGAGCAGAACTAGAGACCAGACACAGAAAGATCCTGTCTCTACAAAAAAAGTTTTTAAATGAATCAGGTGTGGTGGTATGTGCCTAAGGTCCCAGCTACTCAGGAAGCTGAGGCAGGAGGATCACTTGAGCCTAGGATGTTGAGGCTGCAGTGAGCCATGATTGCCTCACTGCACTCTAGCCTGGGTGACAGAACAAGACCCTGTCTTGGAAAAAAAAAAAAAGAGTTCCTTATTATCCTCTTAAGATCTGTAGGATATGTAGTGATGTCCCCTGTTTCAGTGTGTTATACACTGATATTAAAAAGAAAATTCAAACAGAGGATAACATTTTTCATTCTCTTTATAATTTTCTAATTTCTTGTCCTTTTATTTTCACTCATTAAACCTTTAGTAAAGTGCATCTAAGCCAGTGTGGTACAACAGAACATGATATTTGAATTGCCCCAATTTACATTTAATCTCAGCCACTCACTAGCCTGTGGCCTCGAGCAGCTTACTTAACCACTCTGAGTCTTAATTTTATCCTCTGTCAAATGTGGATAAGAGTGCCTCTGCCGGGCTAGCTGAGGGCGGGGGGGGGCGCGGGGAGTCGCAGGGGGAGTGGGGGGCAGGGCTAGCAGGTGAAAGTGCTCAGTGAATGGAAGCCATTGCAGTGGTGATGGATGATGTGATGATGTGTTCCAAATCTTATTGCTCAGACTAGGACTAGTTAATGGTTTTAGGATAGTGGAAATTTTGAAAGCCTCTTGAAGCCCCTAGTTTTCCTAAATTCAATGTATTCTGTTTTATATTGTATGTAAGTAGAATCTGGAGTTTGTACACTGTGGTGAACATAATTGAAACGTGGTAATGCTTTATTTAAAAGTCTGCTTTTTGGCTGGATACAGTGGCTCACACCTATAATCCCAGCATTTTGAGAGGACAAGGCAGGAAGATCACTTGAGGCAGGCATTTGAGACCAGCCTGAGCAACAGAGTGAGACCTGGTCTCTACAAAATAATAATAATAATAATAATAATAATAATAATAATAGTGTGGTGGCACATGCTTGTAGTCGCAGCTACTCGAGAGGCTGGGACAGGAAGATTGCTTAAACCCTGGAGCTCAAGGGTGCAGTGAGCCATGATCATGCCACTGCACTGCAGCCTGGGCAGCACAGCAAGAACCTGTCTCAAAAAATAAAATTAAAGTCAAAATCCACTTTTAGCTTAGATATAATAAATCAGTATGAATGTTACTGAGGATGACGTTTGTACAAGAAAGTAAGATTTAAAACCCAAATCATTTAAGACAGGATTACAGAAATGATTATCTTTAATTTTTTAAAAATTTGTGCCTGTTTCTTGTTTCCTAAGGTGCTTAATTTACCCATTTCTGATGCGAGGAGGAAAGCCTATGCCACTGTTGGCGTGTACAATGGCGATTATGTTCTGTACCTTTAACGGCTATTTGCAAAGCAGATACTTGAGCCATTGGGCAGTGTATGCTGATGACTGGGTAACAGATCCCCGTTTTCTAATAGGTGAGTGTCCACAGCAGTGAACTCCGCCTTGTTCACATCACTGCTTTTATGTTGATGTCCCAGTGGTTTCTAATGAGAAGTCCAAGCTTCCTGTGAGAACAAAGACTCACAGCAGAGAGAGCAGCAGGACCCGGAGTCCCCATGGGACAACCCAGCTGTCTTAGCACAACTCGGGGCAGGGAGGTGACGCAGGTGATGGGAACCTTCCCCTGCATGGGCAAGCGCTGAAGCACAGGTGCCTGGTCAGGCCAAGAACCCAAAAATAGCAGCGCACTGTAGCAGAATGAGCAGGGACTCAAGTTTGAGACACTTTGGCCACTCATTGACCACTTAATCTAAGACAGGACCCAAACCTCCTGCGGTTCCTTCTGTGACATGAGAAAAACCCAGCCTGGGTTATCTTCCTACGGTGCAGCTTTTGTGATTCTATGAGCTTGAATCAACTTTTATGTTTATGAAGTTGATGAATTTTTTTGTTTGTATCAGTTAACATGAATTAATGTACATTTTCAACCTCTAATTATAACTTTATAAGTTTTGAGCAAAAATGAAAATAAAACAGCCATCAACGATATTTTCAAGAGCATTAAAAATTCATCATCTGGCTGGATGCAGTGGCTCCCACTGTCATCCTAGCACTTTGGGAGGCTGAGGTGGGCAGAATCACTTGAATCCAGGAGTTCAAGACCAGCCTGGGCAACGTGGCAAAACTACATCTCTACACAAAATACAAAAATGTAGCCGGGCATGGTGACACACACCTGTGGTCCCAGCTTACTCAGAGGCACTGAGGTGGGAGGATCACCTGAGGCCAGGAGGTCAAGGCTGCAGTGAGCCATGATTGTGCCACTGCGTTCCAGCCTGGGTGACAGAGTGAGACTGTGTCTCAAAACAAAAAACAAAAAACTCAGGAGTCTTGTATATAAGAAAGATTCTTCTATGTATTTGTTTAGTCTATCCTAGCATTTAGATATTAAACCATGCTGAGGTGTAGCTTACTCACAACGGCAGCATGCTAAAAGTTATAGTCTGTCAGATTTGGAAACTACCCTGCAGTATTTCCCCTTAAGCTACATAAAATAACCTGACATTGCATTTTTCTGCTTCTCCATGAGTATTAATTTATAATCATAGAAATAAACTAACACTTGGATAGCACTTTGTTGCTGAGAGGTCCCTTTCACATTTCTCAGTCATGTCTTTTGTCGGCGAATTCGAATTTTATTCCAAGGTTTCACCATATCTGAGGATCGTTACAGTGAGACACCTGTCCCTCCTCTACAAAAGGAGGGTTGGCTGAGAAGGTGTTTCAGGATCCTTTTCTAGCCCCAGAAATCTGTGCCGCCATGAAATGCTAGACTAAATTGTTTGGTACTAAACTGTTGTACAGTACCCCCAAATATCTTCTTGGTTTACCTGCTTTTTGACTACTTTATTTTCTTCTGCCCTACCTGTCAAGAGGAAGAACAGGCTTTTGAGTTCCTATGCAAATCACACGATTTATGCCTCCCCATGTTCTCTGAGGCAGAAAGGATGCCCATAAGATGTGAAAGGTCAGAAGAGTTACACAGCTGGCCCAAGATATCTAGACGCAGTGAATGGCAGAGTGGTGATTTCTGCCGCCTCACCAAGCTGAGTGTCCACAAGTGGCAACAAGAAATAAGAGGAAAGGGAATTTCTTTCTTTTTTCTTTTTAACTAAAGATATAGATTTTAAATGTTTACTAGAGAGTCTCGTGGAACTCACTTCTATGATGAACAACAACAAAAGAACCCTCCTATTTAAAGTAGCTCCGCAGATGGTTCGCATCACGTAGAGGTGACTGTGAATCTGGTCAGGGATTCCAAACACCAAGAAATACAGACCTCTTGACTTCTCTACATTAAACAGAAGGATTTGAAAAGGAAAAACTATGCCAATTGGAAGACAATCTAGGTTACGTTTTGTGTGTTATATTTATTGCCTAGAGTTGTTTTTATGAGGGAACAGACATGAAATTACATAAATAAGTAATTATGCCTACTGTAGTTACTATGAAGTAATAACCAAATAATAATAAATTTCTTTTTCTTTTTTTTTTTTTTTTGAGATGGAGGCTCACTCTATCGCCCAGGCTGGAGTGCAGTGGTGCAATCTCGGCTCACTGCAACCTCTGCCTCCTGGGTTCAAGAGATTCTCCTGCCTCAGCCTCCTGATTAGCTGGGACTATAGGTGCATGGCACTATGCCCAGCTAATTTTTGTATTTTTTTAGTAAAGACAGGGTTTTATCATGTTGGCGAGACTGGTTTTGGACTCCTGACCTCAGGTAATTCACCTGCCTCGGCCTCCCAAAGTGGTGGGATTACAGGTGTGAGCCACCGTGCCCAGCAAATTTCTAACAAAAAGTTTTCCAAAACAGCAAAAGTGGTTAATCTAAACTATTTTATAGAAAGATTTTAAGTTTTTTTTTTTTTTTGAGGCAGCCTGTCATCCTGGCTGGAGTGCAGTGGTACAATCTTGGCTCACAGCAACCTGTGCCTCCCAGGCTCAAGCAATTCTTGTGCCTCAGCCTCGGAGTAGCTGGGATTACAGGTGTGCACCATCGCACCTGGCTGATTTATGTATTTTCAGTAGAGATGGGGTTTCACCATGTTGGCCAGGCCGGTCTTGAACTCCTGGCCTAAAGTGATCCACCCATCTTGGCCTCCCAAAAGTGCTGGGATTATAGGTGTAACCCACTGTGCCCAGCTAGATTTTAAGATTCTTATACATGGAATTAAATATTTAGCTTAGATGAACACAAGTACTAGTTTTCTTCCAATCTAAGCAATAAAGGGAGCTTGTCCCCTAGAAGAAACATAAAGTAGCCATGTTATTTAGACAACATGATTTCTTTCTAGAACCTCATATTGGAAGCCCAATTACCTAGGGGCGAAATACTAAAATCCCAAAAAGTAGCAAGTCAACTATAAATGTATGGATCTAATAAATGACTTACAAAACCTATTATAAAATGTGGTATGAACTGCTTAGAAAAAAAAAAAAAGCTGATTACAGTGGCAAAATCAGAAGGAAGAAATCTTGAAACTCTTGCTATAGACCAGAAGGTTTTCCATGTCCTTGTTCTAACTGTGAAAAAGTGTTCGATGTCACTGATGTGATGACTCAAATAATAATGATACCCCACATGTACGTTGATTTAATATTGAACTAAATGCCAGCATTAAGCAGCATCTGTCTTTCACATTTTAAAAAAGTATATCAGAACCATCAAGTTAACCCCTTTTTATCAATATTTCTTTTATAAAGCACTATTTTGGCCTTTTACCTTTTCTTGATGGAATTCATTGATGTGATACTAAGAACTCTCCTTCAAGTGATGAAAAATCCCTGCAGATTTGTTAGAATAGGAGAGAAAACTGGGGATACCATGGGATTCTGGGGAGAGCCGTGCAGCCAGCCATGGTAGACTGTTGTCAGGAACCGAGGAAGACGGACTGACCAAGGAATGCTGATTGATGAGCCTGTAGGAATTCTGCGGTAGGGGAAACGTGGATGTGCATTAATTTGTTCAAATGAGGTTGTAAATAAGAGAAGACCAGAGATCGGCTCCTAGGAACTGCCACCCCTCAAGGGGCAGTGTACAGCCAGTGGTGACAGAGCAGCACAGGAGCATCACCCCTCCTGATCCATGTGGTGGAGATGGTAGCATTGCCTCATGCAGATTTTGTGAGACATAAGTGGGATGAGTCTGTTTGGTGGGCTGGCTCCCTGATGCTCCCTGGAAAGGAGCCTTGTGCCCAAGTCAGATCTCTATCCATACCTGTCATCCTGAAAATGTAGATTGTGATGATCAGGTCAAAATATTTTGAATACATTAGATGATGTATTTGTATTATTAGAAAAACAAAGCCCTGCTTAGCATACCTGACAAAGGTGCTTGATGGTTTTTACTATCAGTTATGGCTAATATGTTGCACTAACAATGGTAATATGAAGGGTTGCAATAATACTGTTCAGTCAGGCTGGGGCTCGTAGTGAAATTTTATGGTTTATTAGCCACAATCATCTTGCAATTTTTTTCCTTTAGGTTTTGGCTTGTGGTTAACGGGTATGTTGATAAACATCCATTCAGATCATATCCTAAGGAATCTCAGAAAACCAGGAGACACTGGATACAAAATACCAAGGGGTACGTACTGAAAGTGAAGAATTTCTGTGAAAGTTGTGTGCCATGGTGCCTGTCTATTTTAGTGTTGCCAGCTCTAAGAAGTAGTAGCATGGTATTTATTAGCTACAAGTTTTCAGTGTAAGTCATCATTATTAATAACAAGTGCTGTCGTTATTGTCTTATTAGAATAACAAAAGATCCAAATCTGGCTAACTGAACAGTTATTAAACAAAGCAGAAACTACAGTTATATCTGTGCTTGGAAAGAGAGGATGAGGAAGAATGTATGATTTACAAGGAGTGTCTGACACTTCTGTTTCTAGCAGTATAATGGAATAGATACTTTGACCCTCCTCTGAAAACAGTTTAAAATGTTGGAATATTTTGAAAATCTTCTTAAACGTATCAGTATACTATCAAGAAAGGAAGTAATCATCAGAGGACAAGATCTAGGTGAATGATGGAATCTGGAGCGTGTCTTTTGAGAATTTGTGACGAGGCACCAACCCCCATGCTGGTTTATAACCCAGATTCGCACTACTTGTATAGTATGAAAAATCTCAAGCCATGAATTAATTTCCGTGGCCTAGGGTGGTGGTGGACTCTCCTGGCCAGCAAAAGCCCAGATCCCCGAGGGGATCTGCATTCAACCTGAGTCTCAAAGAACCCAATGTGCCACACTCCACAGAGTAAGAGGTACAGAACCCACAAGGAAGTACAGCACCATGAGGGAGAATGTAATTCAACGTGAATGATTTCAGATGTTAAAATTAATGGAAACATTATAAAGTGAGTACTTTAAATGCTTTTTATAATGAGTAATTACAATTAGGAGTAAAGAAGCAATGTACCATAAAAAGGACCAGAAACCAACAGAGTTTCAGAAAAAAAATTTTAAAGTACAGAAATCTAAAACTTTAATGGAGAAAGGGCATGACATCACTTAGTTTGAACTTCTTCCACTTACATTCCAAGAAACCATATGAGAATAGCAACAAAAACAAACAACGCTCCAAATCCCAAATTACTAAAACTGTGACCCTGAGAACCTGGAATCAGCAAAGCCAGCTCCACATGTGATGGTAGTGTGACAGAAGCGGCAGAGAAGAGAAGACAGAGTCCTAGACAGGCTGCTGATCACCCATTCAGCCCCTGGGTGGATTGGGGAAGAATCCCCTCTTTGGTGTTGGGCTTGTAAGCAAACTGCACCCTCATGGGGTCATCCCAAGGAGCCACTTCCTCTGGCAGGTACAGTGGCTGGGAGAGTGCAATGTAAGCTGGATGGTGGCCCCCTTGCTTTGTGCCCAGCACCCTTGCATGGGGAACAGCATGATTCCAGATTCATTGGCAAGTGTTTCTCCCCTGAAGGAGAGGGCCCTGTCCTAAGGAGGGGCTGCCATGAGCCAGACAAAGAAGGGACAGGGCACAGTCCTGGGGGAGGGAGAATGAAAAGGTACAGAAGATGCCAGAAGCCACAGACTGGCAGATTTGAGAAACACCACTTCCAAAAGAAAGGGCATCCCCAGAGATGGCAGGATCCCATGGGAGGGCCCTCCTGGGCCAGGCTGGTCATGGAAAGGCCTGACGTGCCTCATACAGAGGGTCCTGTCCACTGTCCCACAGTAGTTGAGATGCCAAAAAAACTTTTCAGCCTCTTTCCCTCCATTTCCTGCTCTCATGTCTGATCCTTGTTCTAATCCAACACATTCAAACCTGAAGAACAAAAAAGGTACGATCCCCAAATCTGTACAGTCATAACATTGGGACAGCAAAGCAGCAGCAAACCTTACCTGAGCAGAAACATGTTTCACAAAGCAGGGGAAAATTGTAATCAAAATTCCAACATGAATTTTAAAATGTGAATGGAGGCTAGGTATGGTGGCTGCATCTGTAATCCCAGCACTTTGAGAGGCCGAGTTGGGCAGATCACATGAGGTCCGGAGTTCAAGACCAACCTGGCCAACATGGTAAAACCCTATCCCTACTAAAAACACAAAATTTAGCCAGGTGTGGTGGCACATGCCTGTAATCCCAGCTACTTAGGAGGCTGAGACAAGGTTGAGACACGAGAATCGCTTGAACCTGGGAGGCAGAGGGTGCAGTTAGCCAAGATCATGCCACTGCACCCCAGCCTGGGTGACAGAGTGAGACTCTGTCTCAAAAAAGTAAAAAATAAAAACAAAATGTGAATGGATCAGTTGCAGGGTCTATACCCATCAGCTGAAGAACAGTTGCAACGAACCTGCAATCTACAAACTTAGCTTATTTTCTGTCTCAGTAAAGGGAGACCCCTCCCTGCCACATTTCCCTACAGTGCATAGCCTCCTTCCTGCAGCTAGTAATCAACCCAGCTTCCCGACGGCCTATGGCCATCAATGGCATCTCTGAGAACAGATAGGCCAAAGGAGATGTAGAAGCTTGGCTGTGACTCTCAGGCAGCAGGAAGTAGCACCAGACGTCGGTGCAGATGACATGGGACACATGAGACTTAGGGAAGAAAATGCTTCTAAAATTTTTAATTTCTCCTATCCAAGTACTAACTAGGCTCGACCTTGCTTAGCTTTCAAGATCAGACAAGATCAAAATTCTTTATTTCTAATCATTAAATTAAAAGGCCCACAAGACCGGGGGAAAAAAAAAAACACACTACAGAAGCATGTCAGAAGATAGAAATGAAAAAGCAAAGAATATGATATCTAGACTGGGTGCAGTGGCTCACACCTGTAATCCCAACACTTTAGGAGGCTGAGGCAGGAGAATCACTTGAGGCCAGGAGTTCCAGACCAGCCTAGGCAACATAGCTAGACCCCCATCTCTACAAGAAAAATGAAAGAAAATTAGCCAGGCATAGTGGTACACACCTGTGGTCCCAGACACTCAGGAGGCTGAGGTGGGAGGATCACTTGAACCCAGGAGTTTGTGGCTACAGTGAACCTCAGTTACGCCACTGCACTCCAGAGGGAGACCCTGTCAAAAAAAAAAAAAATCATTCTTATTGTGAATGACGTTTTTGGCGATAGCTGGAGAAGGAAGGAAAATATATCCATCCTAGGCACGTTGAAGTCCATGAAGAAGAAATCCAAAGCATTGAAACAGAACATATTTTTAAAACGAATTCAAGAAAGCTTTTGTGAAGTAAAACAAGATGCAAGAGCGTCTGCCGTTTGCAAGTGCACACCCTATACCAGGGAAAGTCGACAGGCAACAGTGACGATCATCTGCACGTGCCGTGAGTGGCTCATAAGGGAAGGTTTGTTAGATTCTTCAGGACAACATTCAGTGCCAAGGCCTTAGAGGCAGCACCATGAGAGGCCCAAGGAATGTGGAAGCCAAAATTTTATCCTAGCTTTGGAGTCCCTCGTGTAAAATCTGTCAGGTTTTGAAGACTACAGGTATAGGTAATCTGGGTGCTGAGCCCCATGAGGACTCCACCATGGTCGGCTTTGTGACTGCCCCCCTCACTGCAGACTCTTAATTTGCAGGGTGTTTTTACGTGACACACTCATGGTTACTAATACACAGGTGTGCCGTCTACATCCAGTGATCACGTGAGGTCTTTCAGAAACGATTCCCAGGACTCTGTTAATAATGGTGCCGTAACTGGTTAGCGTCAAAGGAGCAAGTGACAAAACGAACAAATAAAGAGATAAAGAGAGGTGCACAGATAGGATGCCCATAGTCGGTACATACAGGCTGAACTAGGGTTTAGGGCAAGTGCTGTGGGCAGTGTGTGACGACCAGTTTGTGGTTTTGTAATGCGGCATCTGTAAGCAGCCTGTGTCTCAAGATGACATTTTTTGGCAGATTGGCATCTCCAGGTTTTCCAGTCTAATTACATGCTTACTGGTCCACCCATATGGTTCCACCAAATAATGTGCCCCACACTGGACCCTCAGAGAGAAGGTTCACTGAGCAGGCTGCATGCGGGAAGGCATCATGGCCCCAGCCCTCCCCACAGGCTGTCTGCCCTTTGGGTGACTGGCATCTGCAGGACGGGGTGCAAAGGTCCTTCCACGTCTGGGATTCAGCTGCCCAGGGCTCTGTTGAAATACAGATGATCGTTAATGTCATCTTGTAGAAAGTTGAAGCAGTTACAGAAATGGGTGAATAAGAAAGTGACAGTGACTAAGCTCCACGGTTCAGAGGGAACAGTGCTGTGAATGCTTTGGGTCCATTCTTGCAGGCGCTTCTGCAGGTGCATATGCCCACACATTGTGAATGACATTCTATTTATTGGGCATTAAGTTTGATATTTTTATGTATTATATTGTCATTAAAAAGTTTGTTTGTCAATGAATGTTGCTATTTGTATTAGTCTGTTTTCACTCTGCTATAAAGAACTACCTGAGTCTGGGTCATTTATGAAGAAAAGAGGTTTAATTGACTCACAGTTCCGCATGGCTGGGGAGGACTCAGGAAACTTACCATCATGGCAGAAGGCGAAGGGGAAGCAAAGACCTTCACATGGCGGCAGGAGAGAGAGCGAGCGAAGGGGGACCTGCCTCACACTTTCAAACAATTACATCTCATGAGAATTCACTAGCACAAGAAACCGCCCCCATGATCCAGTCACCTCCCACTGGGTTCCTCCCTTGTCCTGTGGGGATCACAGTTCAAGATGAGATTGGGTGGGGACACAAAATCAAACCGTATCAGTATTATTTTACAATTATGAATTATTTCAAGCTTACAGAAAAGTAGTAGAAAGCTCAATATTGCAAACATCTACACACCCCCACCTTCCTTCAATAAGAAAAAGAAAAGCACTTTGCTGTCTTGGGCTCAGCAAAACTATTTTCTTTCTTTTTAAAAAATGGACCATCTCAGGCTGGGCGCCGTCGCTCATGCCTGTAATGCCAGCGCTTTGGGAGGCTGAGACAGGTGGATCACCTGAGGTCAGGAATTCGACACCAGCCTAGCCAACACGGTGAAACCCCGTCCCTACTAAAAATACAAAACTCCAAAAAAAAAAAAAAAAAAAAAGATCATCTCAGCTCCAGCCAAAGCCCTCATGCACGTAAGTTGCAGTGTGCTCAGAGAACTAGTCTCTACCCTATGCTGCAGTATTTGTTGCAATTGGTCTTATGACTTAGGGTGTAATCGGTTTGTCTTTTTTTTTTGAGACAGAGTCTAACTCTGTCACCCAGGCTGGAGTGCAATGAATGGCACGACCTCGGCTCACTGCAACCTGTGCCTCCTGGGTTCAAGCGATTCTTATTAATCAGCTTCCCGAGTAGCTGGGACTACAGGCGTGCACCATCACACCTAGTTAATTTTTGTATTTTCAGCAGAGACAAGGTTTCACCATGTTGGCCAGGCTGATCTGGAACTCCTGACCTCACATGATCCACCTGCCTCAGCCTCCCAAAGTTCTGGGATTACAGGCGTGAGCGACCGCACCTGGCCTAATTTTTTAAAAAATGCTCTGTCCTTATATGCCTTCTGAATTTTCTCAGCTCTGCAGACATAGTGCCCAACCGGAACCCAGGGCAGAATACATCAGGCCTCTCTAGAACACACTTGAGTAGCCACAAAGCTACAGCCTGAGGGTGAGTCCCAAGTCCCAAGGAGGGGCCTCCTGCCCTCCTTCTCTGCTAGGACCCCTCTCCCTGCCCCTCATCTGGTCCTTGGAGTGTGCCAGCCATTGCTCTCCGCCTCAGGGCCTTTGCTGCATCTCTTCTCTTGCCTGGAGCACTCCTGAGAGCACCCCCAGCACCTGCCAGGCTGGCCCTCACTTGCAAGCCTTGAATCTACCCTCACCTTCCCTGTGAGGCTTGTTCCCAGCCACTCTGTGATGGTGACCTCCTCCACCCCATCCCAGTTCCAGGACCCCTCACTACTGTGCCCTGCCCCTCACTACTCCTCCCCCTCCATGTGCTGCATGCTCTCTTTGTTCATGACACTGGGGTTTATGGTTCTAGATGTGGGGAGGGGGTCTGTCCAAGTGCCTGGGCATAATACTGACTCAGCGCATTTGTGAAGTTGTGATGAATGAATGAATGAATGAATGAATGAGTGAATGAATCTGTGCTTGAAAGTGAATATCTTCGTCACTCATTGCTCTAGGGTTCTATTTAGGTCCATTTTACTTGCTAGTTCATTGTTAGTTGTTACTCTGTATTCTCTGCTTGCATGATCCATCAACAGGTGCAGTGGTTTAGTGGTGTCTTCCACTGTAACTGTACATGCATGTATTCACATAGACGGGTATTGATATATATATGTAGTTGATGATCAGAAGCTGTGATGTGAATTAGTAAACCATGTAACACTGGATATGTCTTATTGATTAACATCCTATAAGGGAAATATTTTTCCGTTCTTGAATTTATGTTCTCCAGGTAAGTATTCACTAGCATCTCTGAAGTCTATATTTCATTTTGTAGTAAATGTACTACTTTGGTCTGTGTTTTCTTCTAGGAGGCTTATTTGAATACGTAACTGCAGCCAACTATTTTGGAGAAATCATGGAGTGGTGTGGCTATGCCCTGGCCAGCTGGTCTGTCCAAGGCGCAGCTTTTGCTTTCTTCACATTTTGTTTTTTATCTGGTAGAGCAAAGGAGCATCATCAGTAAGTTTTAAAACACTTTTACCGTTTGTAATTTGTTCTTTGACTATATTATTACTCTTTTTCAGGATAGATTTTTGAAGTGTTAAATTGCTGAATTCCAGTTTATTCTGTGCTTTGACCAAACAAGTACAAAACCAAACCGATAGCTGTAGAATCACCCAGCTCTAAGGAATTGTCAGAGCCACATAAGCAGAGTTGTTCTCTACACCACGTCCTTAGCCTCTCTGAATTGGCATTGCTGGAGTCAGTGGTGCAGCTGGACACCAAGCAGGGGACTCGGGGTTCTGAGTGGGAAACACTGATTAAAACAGAAGCCTGACTGAGCACAGCCAATGGCCAGCTTGTGAATGCTGCAGGTTGAGGAAGCCCTGAAGAGGAAGGTGAAGCCCAGAGCCCGGCAACACTGGCAGAACTCGTGCACACAGAGCTCTCTAGCTATGTGGTGACTCAGGCCATGGCTCTGAACCTGGGGTCCTTGATGGGCTACAGAGGCTCCGTGTGCCCCCTAAAATGACATTTTCCAGAGACCAGGTCCTTGCCTTTCATCTGATCCCCCAAAGGGCTTGTGAGCCATTTGACCAACACACTCATAAAGAAATCAAAGGGACCGGGCATGGTGGCTCACGCCTGTAATCCCAGCACTTCGGGAGGCCGAGGCCAGTGGATCACTTGAGGTCAGGAGTTCAAGACTGGCCTGGCTAACATGGTGAAACCCCATCTCTACTAAAAATACAAAAATTAGCCAGGCATGGTGGCGGTCGCCTGTAATCCCAGCTACTCGGGAGGCTGAGGCACAAGAATCACTTGAACCTGGGAGGTGGAGGTTGCAGTGAGCCGATATCGTGCCACTGCACTCTAGCCTGGTTGATAGAGTAAGACTCAGTCTCAAAAAGGAAGAAAGAAAGAAAAAGAAATCAAAGGATGTCAAGGCTGAAGTGAATTTAGAGAACAGCTTTCTAACCCAATGGATGAGGAAACTGAGGTTCAAGGAGCAGAGTCTGAGGCCTGCCAGGAGCCCCGTCTCATTGACAGGAAGAGATCTCAGCCACAGCGTGGAATCTTTACTTGCCCTGACATGGGCGTGTGTCCCTGACAATAAATGATGGAGACTGGGCTTAGCAAGCAGCCAGCCTGGTACGCACATTTACCGTGTGCCCTGAGCCACTCGCTTTATCACTCAAAACATCTAATCAAAATCTCCAAAGCTGCCAATGCTATGAGGCGTGCAAAAATGTATAACTCTGTCCTTCTTCATGGAGTTTATCATCTTTTTTGGGACTGAGGACAGAGAGAAAAAGCTAAAAAGAATAGATTGATAGCATGGTATAGTGGGAAAAGTACCTAGGTGTACTTCCCAGCCTCACCACGTGTTTGCAGATGCAAAGGATGATTATTGGAGATAATAAGAAGAAAGGTCATATCTGAAGTATCTCTTTGTCTAGTTTTTTTTTTTTTTTTTTTAAGACAGCATCTCGCTCTGTCACCCAGGCTAGAGTGCGGTGGCACAATCTCAGCTTGCTGCCACCTCTGCCTCCTGGGCTCAAGTGATCTTCCCACCTCAGCCTCCTGAGTAGCTGGGATTACAGGCACACGCCACCAGGCCTGGCTAATTTTTTATATTTTTTTTGTAGAGTTGTGGTCTCACTATATTGCCCAAGCTGGTCTTGAACTCTTGGACTCAAGTAATCCTCGCACTTCAGCCTCCCGAAGTGCTAGGATTAGAGGCGTGAGCCAACGTGGCTGGCCTCTGTCTAATACTTGAAGAAGTGATAGCATAAATGTGAAAGCTGATGAAGCTCTCAGGGCAGCGCCCTGCATTCTTTCGAGACACTCCATTGTGCCAGTGACCTGGTATTTTCACACATACAGTGAGGAGAACAAAAGCAGAGCCACGACCTACCTAAATCCTGCAGCTGCTGAGAAAAACAGAGGGGTCTGCAGGAAGTTGAGTGAGTGCTGAAGGCAGAGAGGGTTTGAGAAGGAGGCTCGAGGCCAGGCATGGCAGAAAACACTGTGGGCCAGGAATGGGCCCTCTGTGCTGGGAACTGTGTTCGCCAAAAGGTCATATGGGAGTCCTAAGCCCTGGTACCTGTGAAAGCGACCTTACTGGGGAACATATTCAGTTGAGATGAGAAGGGGAAACGTGGATACAGACATACACCAGGTGATCACACAGAGTGGGAAGGCCACGGGAAGATGGACAGAGAGGCAGGGGCGATGCAGCCACGAGCCCAGGAACACGTGGCACCACCAGAGCTGGAGGAGATGGGACTGGAACCTTCCCTGAACCTCCAGAGGGAGCAGAGCCCTGCTGCCACCTTGATTTCCAACTTCTGGCCTCCAGAACTGGGAGAGAATCGATGACCGTTATTATAAGCCACCCAGTGTGTGGTAACTTTGTTCTAGCAGCCACAGGGAACTGATACACCAGCCTTCCGGCCATCTAAAATTGACTGGGAAAGTAAGGGCAGGAGTATGATTTGTGAACCCTTCTGTTTTTTCCTCTGCCACATGACTTTGTTGTCACAGGTTTGGTTGAGATACTACGTCATCACTCAAAATATACATTCTAGAGTCTGACTTCCTCCCCTCTGCCCCTGCTGCCCCCAACACTGCCCCCGCTGCCCCCAGCACTGCACACGCTTCACGATGAAGATGCCATCCTCTTACATTCCTAATATTTGATGTGAAGAAGCAAGTAATGGCTCATTTCTCTTAAACAAATGAGATAACACTGACATTTAAAAAAACGTGGATCAGCGTAAGATTGAACACGGGCACACCAAGTCAGTGGTAAAGATGTTTCCTCAAATGAAATCAGGAAACAGGAAAACCCCTCTCAGTATATGAATATGAAACATATAGAAATGGAAAATAAGTAATTCAGTTATCTAAATGAAAGTCTTTGCTAACAAAAACCCAAAGATACTCTTTGCAGAAGAATTCATGAGTTGAAAGAGCTCTTTGTCATCCATTTGCTGTTTAAATTGGTGTCAGTGTGAAACCAGTTTTAAGTACTAAAGAATTAATCAATTCAGTTTTGCAGAATTATGTTCAGAAATGTAGGACTTACAAGCTGAGAATAAAATAAAAACTCTTTTTAAAAAAATATTTTCATAAACCCAACTAATTAAGCCATCAAATAAACGTATTCCAAAAGAAACCACGCCAAGGATCTATTCCTTGCACTCCATTTGATTGTCGCCCAGGCTGGAGTGCAGGGGCGCGATCTTGCCTCACTGCAAGCTCCGCCTCCCAGGTTCACACCATTCTCCTGCCTCAGCCTCCCGAGTAGCTGGCACTACAGGCGCCTGGCTAATTTTTTTGTATTTTTAGTAGAGATGGGGTTTCACCGCATTAGCCAGCATGGTCTTGATCTCCTGACCTCACAATCCACCCACCTTGGCCTCCCAAAGTTCTGGGATTACAGGCGTGAGCCACTACGCCTGGCCGGATTATAATGTTCTAAAAACAAAACTGTATTACAATGAATTTCTTTCTGAAATAATTAGTATTTAAATTCATAAATGATTGCATTGATAGTTAAACTCTAGGTCAGAAACAGTCACCTGTGCTGGGTTGCTAACAAATATTCTCTTTAAAGGCAAAATTTAAAGGTATTCTAAGGAGTGAGAAAAATTTAATCATTTAACAATAAATATTTTATTTCCATATAATGGTTTCTGTGAAATACATTTAACCTCTTCAGCCAACATCCCTTCATTATGTGAGAACATCCTGACCTCACACGTGTTCTTTCTGATGTCACGGAGCCCAGCCTTGCTGCCCAGCCTGGCTGGAAGGAGCATTTTCTCGGCGTCCTGCGGCAGTCCTGTGTCTCCTGTCTCCCGCCTGCCCTCTCGTGTTGGCCCATTTCAGGCTCTCCTGCTGTCATGTACTCTGCCCTTGACTTTTCGGGCCAGGGTGCCCATCTTCCATGGGCAGTTTCTGGGAGAGAGGAGCTCACCCGCTATGTCCCTGTGCGGCATCCAGTGCCGCTGGCCCGTGGGGAAGCTCTCCGGCACTTGCAAGGGGTGGATGGCCTGGATCCCAGCAGGCCTGTGAAAACTTTCAGGCTCTAACCAGCAAACATGTTTGCAGTCCACTTCTACAGGCTTCACACCAGCTGTGAAAACCTTCAGCCTCTAACCAGTGAACATGTTTGCAATCCACTTTCACAGGTTTCACACCAGCTATTGGGCTTGGCCACGTTGTGTGTTGGGCACTCTGGTCCATGTGCCACCACTGAGCCACATAGCTGGAAAGGCTGCAGTCTCGAGGCCTCATGCCAGGGGAAGTGATCCTTGACCTGGAAGTCCTGACCGACTTCTTAGAATTGTTCTTATTACATGCCTTTTTGGGGACACAGAACATAAAAAAGTAAACGTGGCCGCCCAGTATGTTCAGATTCTCTATTTGTGGATTCCGGTGTTAAACTTAGCTAAGACCAGCAGGGGTTTGCCAACTGCCTCTCAGTTTCTCATCCTCATATGTTTCTACCACATTAACAGCGAGCTAATTGCTTTCTCTTATGATTTTTAGCCTGTTAATCTTTGTGTGTTTATAGAAACTCCCTTTTATGACTATTTCTCCATCTTGTCAAATTATTTCTAATTTTTACTCCATCCACTTAGTTGCCACCTTTCCCAACTGGCTATTACCCCCAAAACAAATGAGCATGCCTTCGTTGATACAATTTATATCAAAACTGAAAATACTGTTTGTTTTGAGCACAAGGCTGAATTGTGGACAACGCCGTACTACATTTTCCCAGATTTCACTGAATCCTTACTAAGAGCTGTTCCTGAGCCTCCTGGTACACAGCTGGGTGCCCACTCTATACACCCTGGGCTAGGCCAGTAGTTCTCGACTGCAGGCTGGAGAAAACTCTTAAGAGTCTACCAGCAGATATTCAGAAGCACCTACTTGGTCCTGCCCCTCCTCCAGCCTGCATGCTTTCCCCAGGGGCTAAAAAGACAGCTCCACAACGTGCTGTTCAGTATTTTCATCAAATGTCAGTAATTTTCCTTCCAGATAGAAAGCTGAATTCTATGGGCTACTTCTTCTGAATCACACTTTATGATTAGATATATTTAATTCTTCATGATATAGGCAAAATTAAACTATAAGTATGAAATGCCAAAGTTTTTGTTACTACATTTAAAAATTGAATAGTCTTTTGTCATGAAAAATATTGTCACTTTTGTTAGCATCTGTTAAATGTCTAAGTGACAGAATTATTCCCTTTAAAAAATTTTTTTTTCTTATTTTTAGGTGGTACCTCCAGAAATTTGAAGAGTATCCAAAGTTCAGAAAAATTCTAATTCCATTTTTGTTTTAAGTGCATTTTCAACGAAATTATCTTCAAGTTGAAGCTTTCCAATGGTGTTTCTCTAGGGACTTTGTAAATAAGTTATATCTTTGTAATTTTCCTGCTACTTCATCATTTTCAAGATGTCCTCTAGAAATATTTTTTCTAGTAATTTTGCAAGCTACCTAATAAGTACTTAAATAAACTGAAATGGAGGTTGAAGTATCCTACTGTGTAACAGATCAGAATTTCAAACTCCAGGTAATAACTGCTGACATTTGTTCTAATTTCGAATTTGCCTCTTTTGGCTATGTCTTGCCAAGTGTGTCTAAGACTAGAGTTTACAACTGTCTTTGATGGCATTTTCAGAACAATAAATGTCACAATCCCTTCTATAGCCCCCTACAGTGATCCCTTCAAGGTCAACAGCAGTGTTGCTTTCCCCCTGTAGGGCTGGGATATGTCTTGGAGCCCTCTCTCGGAGGCCACAGAGGCCGGGGGTAGCCATTGTGCAGTCATGGCCCAGGGGAAACTTGCCAACCTTCATTGTCAGGTGCTGTGTGTAAGTGGAGAACTTGGGGATAGAGGAGGAAGCTCCTTGTGGCTCTTCCAAGGCGGGGCAAAGGCATCTGGACTTGTTCCAGCCCAGCCCCCCAGGTGACATCACCAGGCAGGGAGGGGTGCTGGTGGTGGTTTAGACGGAGTAAGTTGCTTTGCCGTGCAAGTGGCTCCTGGGCCCTAAACAGGCACCTTTAGGCCATGGGTCACTCACCATGAGCCATCAGTATGCTCTGGTCTGACATGGTTTCTCTTTGTCCTCTAGTCTAGACCTAGTTTTTCGTTCTGTTCTCCACGTATGGATATAGTAGAGATTATTGTCTGTGAAATTTCTCCTTTGTGGATTTTGAGTTTTCCGTTGTAGTGTAAAGAATGATTACCTTCTGTAACAATAAAAAGACCACTTTTTAAGATTTATCCTGTTCTTTGTCGATTGAAACATAATAATTATATTGTTAAGATTCTCTACAGCCTTCTTTTTCTTCCATAGCTAATCTTCTTCTAATTGTTTTTTGCTTTCTGTTTTGCTGTTGCTGCTTTGCAAAGCTTTTCCCTCATAGCCTGTACCTGTTATCAGTATAAAATAATCTTCCTGTTGAATGCTTCATGACTTGAATTCTACTTTGATGAAAACATTGCCATACTGCTTTTTATCTTGATGAATTCATCTGGCATTTCTTTGCTTTATCGTCTCATCTGGAGTTTTTAAATGCCATTTGTTTTAGTTGTCTTTAACAACATAATAAATAGACTTTGCCATTTAACAAGGTAGCTCAAATTCTTTTACTAATTGTTACATCGAAACATTCTTTCATCGTGTTTCCTGTTTTTATTTGGTTTTTTCAACTTCTTCTGTTTACTATCTACAGTGATTTGGAAAGGAGATTTCCTTTAAAACAAACAAGCTTATTGGGAATGGCTTTTATGATTTTTAAAGTAGCCTTGAGAGCTTCCAGTTAAATCTGATGAGCTGAACATACACCTTTCCTTCTCCCCTCTCTATCCTGACCCCAGTTGAAATCACCTAAAAGGAGTTTAAGTGGGGGAGTGGCCCCATAAAGAGAGTGAGAGAGAGTCATCACTGCAGACAGATCACAGCACGGGTGGAGATGGGCCTGATGTGGCAGAGCAGAGAGGCCATGACAGCACGCACCCAGCCGAGACCCTGGGTCCTCACACCTGGGCTGACAGAGGGCAGAGGGATATGAGCACCTCAAAGTGAGACCAACTAAACATGGTGCCCGCAGGAGAAAGCAGTGTCCTCTGCACTCCCACTCCCCACGGACAGCACATAGAGCGCAGAAATGAGCCATGTGCCCATTGCCGGGGAAGAGAAAGGTAGGCTGAGGTGGTGGTCTGTCCTAACACAAAAATTAACTAAGTGGGGAAAAACGGAGAACTAGGTGTTGGCATCCCAGGAAAAAAATAAAGTCTCCACATTTTGGTCTTAAGGGATCCTGCCCCATAATGGCTGGTTACCTCCTGCCTCGAGCTGCAGGGAAGCTGGGGGTGGCGTGGTGCCCCTGCAATTAACTCTCCTGCTCAGACTTTCTGGTCCTTCTTAGAAAATGTGAACCAGTGAGCAAGAAGCGCCTGGTACATAGAAAAATCTGCATCATGAAAGAACAATGAAAGCCTCTTCAAGAAAACATGATCCTAGGCATCAAAGGGAATTTTTAAAAAGAAATCATAACTTCAGGGAGATTCAGCATCCACAGAGGAATGGACATCACTCACTGTGGGACATCACATACTGGAATACTACTCAGCAATGTGAAGGAATGGACTGTTGATGAATATTTATAAATCACATATCTGGTAAAGATTTTAATATTTATAATATGTAAAGAACTATCAAAATTCAGTAATAAAGCATATGTTTTGTAAATGGACAAATGATCTGACACTTCACCAAATAATACATACAGTGGCAAATAAGTACATGCACAGATGCTTAATGTCTTTGGTCACTGGGGAAACATTAATAAGATATCAGTACACATCTATGAGCCCTTCACAAAACTGATTTGAATGCTAAAATCTATAAAAACTCATTCTGTTGAACAGTAAACTGAGGCACAAATAAATTTTAAAGAATTTATTTGATCAAACAACAATTCATGAACTAGGCAGCTCCAAACCAGACATGGTTAAGGAGCTCCACTGGGGGGAGCAAGGAGAAGGCTTCCATAGGATGGACACAGAGGAAAGCAGCACAGTTTGTGGCTCCAGCTGCACAGCTACCTCATTTGGTCTGTTCCATTGGAAGATCCCTGGTTATGTAAGTTTGGTGCCTGTCCTGGTCAGTTGAGCTTAAATCCTGTTTTTCTTCAGTATAGGTATTTACAACAAATAGCTCAAGTTAAGTTTTGCTTATGTTTGCAAAGCAAGCAAGGGTTAGGTCATTTATGAGGCCTAACTGGTTTTGTCCGCCCAGGGATTCTTCAGGTCTGGTCTCCATTCTAATTTACTTTAACACTTCTACATATGATAGTCCCCAAAATATGAACATTTTCCCAATAACACTTGTAAGCCATAACTTATTTTCCTCCATTAAATATTGTTACATTTACTTCAGATAGTTTTAAACTCCTTAGAAACTATGCATTTGCTCAAACAGCCTGTTCTTCAGTTAAAGTTCAAACCCGTTTGACCAGAGAAAAGCAAACATTATTAACTAAGAATATGATTGTGTTAGTCTGTTTTCATGCTGCTGATAAAGACATACCTGAGACTAGCTAATTTATAAAGAAAAAGAGGTTTAATGGACTCATGATTCCACATGGCTGATGAGGCCTCACAATCGTGGTGAAAAACACGTCTTACGTGGTAGCAGACAAGAGAGAACGACAGCCAAGCAAAAGCGGAAACCGCTTATAAAACCATGAGATCTCGTGAGACTCACTACCGTGAGAACAGTATGGGGGAACCACCCCCATGATTCAATTACCTCGCACTGGGTCCCTCTCACAACACGTGGGAATTGTGGGAGCTACAATTCAAGATGAGATATGGGTGGGGACACAGCCAAACTATATCAACCATTTTTTTTTCACTTGTGAAGATAAAACGTTTAATTTAAAAATGTTGACACTACAATGTATTAAATAGTTATAAATGGACACAGTGTATTCTATAGCTGCCAAGTTTACTTTTTTTTTTTTTTTTTTTTTTTTTTACACGCGAGCGAAACTGTAAGTTATACTGTGGTTAAGACTTGTACCTTCACCCTTGAAAAAGCCCACATTCTATCACAGCGATGTATGGTCAGACTTAACAGCCGCAATTGTTAAACACTTGGATCAAGTCATAACCGGTTTTATTGCAAAAGGACCCCGTACACATTTATCAATTCTAGTACCTTAATAGCTAACCGACAAGTCATTAACATACAGAAACATGCATCATGAGAAGCAAGAAATATCATCCATCCCTTCTGCATATTAGCAGCTTGTCACTCCTTAGCGACAGTGCTCACATCCCTGAGGTCAGTGGACACTCACTTTCCACATTCCTCCTGAGTGAAAGATGGAATGACTTAAGTACAAATGCAGCATATTATAAACAATTTCTTACAAAAGTCACAAACCGAAGTATTTTACAGAATTTACTACAAAACGCCATAAAAACTGCCTTCACTGAAGCGCACTCTCTCTCGGTATCCGGCGAGCCAACTGGATGTCTTTGGGCATGATGGTGACTCTCTCAGCTTGGATGAGATAGTATCTTCTCATGGATGAGATAGTGTCTCTCAGCGTGGATGGATAGTATCTTTAAACAGACTCACCGGGTAACTTCCTAGCCTCCTGCCGTGCACGGATGGCTGCGCTCGGAAACTTCAGGTCGGTTTTGAAATCGGGCGCAATTTCCTGCACCTGGCTCTGCAAAGGAGCTTCCGGATGAGCAGCTGGGCCAACTTCTGATAACCACGAATCTCTCGCAGCGCCCCCGCCCCTGGCCTGTAGGGATGAGTTTTCTTCACCGCCCCCGGAGAGGGGCGCTGTCCTGGCGGCTTTCGTGGCCAGCTCCTTGCCGAGGGCTTTCCCCTGAGGGATTTACAAGCTGTCGGCTTGGTTCAGGCTATTTCTTTTTCCCCAGCGCCGAAGTTTGAGGCCACAATCGCAGAGCGAAAAACCAACGCTCCTCCAACCAAAGACCAAACCGCTCCGCGCTGCAAAGACCTTGACTAATAAAAATTTAACCTTTTTTATTAATTAAACAAAAAATCCAGTCTAAAAATGGTTTCATTCCACAAAGAGGCATCTTTCCAAATCGCAGTGAAAAAGACGAGTAATTCTCAACTTTACTTTCTATTACTTGCTATGGAATTCCCTCACAAAATTGCTCTCCGGCACACCAGAACAGCATTTGTAGAATGGTATTAGGGTAATGACAGTGTGACGCTAATTGTCTGATACACATTAACAAAAGCAGGTCACTGCTGGTCACCATAGCAAGACATTCAGCTAATAAATGGTTACCCGCTGAATCTTTACTTAGGACATTAATTGCTTCACCCACATAAAAATAAACAGCAGCCAGGAGACTACCCTAGTCAATGTCCAGAGGGTCCCCTTTCTTTCCGTTTTCTGCAGGCGAGTCCTTTATGTTTAGAAACCTTGCCTGCACGGCATGCTTATGCCACCATGAGCAGGAGGTCACTGGAAGCTCAGGAGCCTCCTATTCCCCAGGCTGACTGGGGCCGTGGAGGCTGGGGAATGGGCACACACATGCCCCCATTAGCTAGATGAGGCTCACGTTCCGTTTCTTCCGGAAGCGCTGCACTAGACTGTGGCCTGCTGGAGTGCAGCAACCAACTCTAAGCCATTCGCTGCCATCCACCCTAAGACCTGGTAGGGGGCCTGGGACGTAATCAGGGCTCAAAACACATTTGCTAAACAACAACAAAATGACTCACATATTGCTTCTCACTCAAAGCAGAAAACCAAGGTAGAAAGACCACAGGGAAATGCAGCCAGGGGTGTGGATCCTGAAGAGATGCCTGAAATGAGTGTCCTGTACAGTGGGAAGGCTGGAAAAACGTTTGCCAGTTACTGTTCCCGGCTAAAGGTCATTCAGGTCCACATGCCCAAACACAACTAATCTGTGCATTTTGAGATTTGTGGATGTCCTCGTAACCCTGTGTCCTTGAAAGCAAATTAGTGAGTGCCCAAGGTAGCCTGGGAGGGTGTCCCCCCTGGGGCCACTTCTGGGTAGAAGCAACTTTCAAAGCCAAAGCCCCCCAGGCCAGTTTGGGGCTCCCACATCTGCTTCTCCACTTACTCTCTTATCTGATCTTCTTCAAGTGCTGGCTCAGAGCTGACCAGCATCACCAATGATGAGACTGGGTTATCTCTGGGTTCTGATGAAGCCCAAGATTGCCAAATAAATCGTGACTCCAGAATCTGTAGCTTAACCCTGGTTGGGTGTCCTGGGTCCCTCCAGCCTTCCTCTAATGTCTCCTGGTGAGGGCCCTTTGTCTGTTCCGGCCGCTGACAAAATACCATAAACTAGGTGACTTATACACAACTGAAAGGTATTGCCCACAGTTCTTGAGCGTGGAAAGTCCAAAATCAAAATTCGGTGTCTGGTGAGGCCCCTGTTCCTGGTTCATAGGTGATACCTCCCTGTGCTCTCACCTGGAAGAAGGGACTAGTCAGCTCTGTGGGTCTCTTTCTAAGGACATGAATCCCATTCATGAGGCCTCCACCCTCATCACCTAATCATCTCCCAAAGGTTTCACCTCCTAACACCATTGCATTGT